ATTATTTCAATTTTTACCTAATAAATGATGTATTATTATATATTTAAAAAATTAAAATCAATATAGGTACGTCATATGCTCTCAATAATAATAGTAAATACTTACTCAATGTATTTAAATGGAAAAAAAAATGTAAATAATATGATAAACAAATAAAACATATACTACCTTTATATATTCAAAAATCTTTATGATATATTTGTTCTACAATATACAAATATCGAATTATATTATATTATTTATTTAATTTTAAGCCCTTAAAGTGTAGGTAACATTTACTTATTTATTTTAATATTCTAGATGACGTTATAAGAAAGCCATGCAATATTTATATTTATAACAAAATCACTATATTCCATATAATATATTATTTTCGAAACATTCTAGTGTCTGAAACTCTGAATGAAAAAATCACATAATATTATGAACCCAATCCTTATTGTCTTCAGTCATATAGTGTTTAAATTGATGACAAAATTAGTACATAAACCATCGAAATAAAAAATTTGCCTTACATATAATTATATTCTATTTACATATTAAATTAACATGTGTATTATGTTCCCTGCTTAAAATAAAACGTAAAGTTTAGTATGAACATATTAGGATATCATGAGTAATAACATATTATTATAGTAATAAACTAGCTATAAAAAATAAGATGTAATTAACTAATTTTATTATTCATTATTATTAAATTAGTAATTGCATATATTTAAATTTTAAGTCCTTCTTAAAATACCTCAATAAATTACTCTTTTTGTACCTATTATACCTAATGTGATACACTGACGTCATCTAGCAATTTAAACTTTGCTCAATGAAATAATCTATTTACATATTACATGACAAATAATGATGAGTATGTCTTTATTCTATGTACAGGATGATTCTTTTATCAAACAACATTACATTCATCATTTCAAAATCTATTAACATTTTTAAAAATATTTTTTTTTTTTTACATAATTTTCAGTCGAAATAAAATAATATTTTTAAGTTTTTTACTTTTTGAATCACAACATAGCATACTCGTAAATTTTTAAACGTATATAGAATATTTTTGGAAGGATTTCGATGCCTAAAAATCTAAATTTGATTGATTAATTTATGAGTTATTTAAATAATTATAGGTTATAATTATTTAAAGTTTAATTTAGTTAAGTGGAAAAAGGTACGGGAATACCACCAAAAAATAATGATCTACTAGTCCTCTCACCAAACCTTCAAATACTTATAACTCATAAACTACTCATCCGAATTTAGATTTTTATACATCAAAATTCTCCAAAAAATATGAATTTAAAATTGTGTGTTTTAATTTAAAAAGTAAAGAACTTAAAAAATATTAATTTTTTTTGACTAAAAATTATGTAAAAAAATAAAATAATTTTAAAAATGTTAATAGATTTTGAAAAATTATAACTGTTATAATTTTTAAGATGATTTTTATTTTGAATTTATTCTAATTAAAATAACAATTGAAATTTATGAATTAATAAACAAGTTACACATAATTTTGACTTTATGTGTATGATTATTAATTAAATTATTTCTTAGTAACATTTTACGATTGGAATTCGATTCTTGCATAGAATGTGATGATTAGTCATTTATTATCTATATGGCCTATTTCTCATAAAAACAATGTTTTTTTTTGTGTGTATTATGTCTATACGACTATACCTAATATAGGTTTTAACTTACCATTAAACATTATATATACTAATAACTATTTAATAATTACAAGTTATACAGCTGTACCAAATTATTTAAAAATTAAACTTTACATTTATGGTTTATATTGTAGTCAGGAAACATAATAAGAAGGTATATTCATTTAAAATTGTATTGATAAAATCACGCATAGACAAAATATTGTCAGTAGGGGTACTTATATTGTTATATTATTTTTAATTAGTAATTTTAACTTAAACGTGCCAGTGGATAATAATCAGTTGGTATTCATTAATAATTAATTTTTTTCAATAACTCATTTTGAAAGTTATAACTATCCGTTTACTATTTACTATGTATATACAAATATACCAGAAACGTTTACGTTAATATATTGTATAAATTTAAACTGCATAAGTTTTGAACTGTCATTTTATATCCATCTAAGTAAGTAAGTATTAAAAACAAAACAGTGCATCATAATTCATATTCAAGTACCTAAATAGTCTATAATATAAATAAGTTATTTATTATATTAATTACGAGTATATAGTAATAATAAACCTATCAAAACTGTATCTAAAAAAATTTAAAATGTAAAATTTTTTAATCACTCTAAATAAGTAATAGATACTGATTAACCTTAAAGTTTACAAGTTGTTTTATGGCAAATTGTCATCAAACAGTATAACGTGAAATAAAAAATTTATATGTATGGCAAAAATTTATTCCGGTACCGGGAATCGAACCCGAGCCTCCTGGGTGAGAGCCAGGTATCCTAGCCACTAGACCATACCGGATATACTTCAAATTTTGAATGTAGTTACATTATCTCAGTTAAATACTTTGTACGTTTTACCAAGTTAATTTCCATTTTCGTTGTATATCATTGAGAAAGCAATGGTCATATTTATGGGAAAGAATGACTAAAGGAGCTAAACACCCCTCTCCCCCTGAAATGTCTAAAAATTTAATTTAATTGAAATGTTTGACATGCATTGACAGGAACTAATCAGTGTATTTTTTATTTTTCGATTATCTGTTGACATCGTTTTTCCTAGAAAAATGAACCAAACATTTCCCCATATACCTTCTATAATCGATAGTAAATACTATCACATTTTGTATTAATACACGTCATTGTCTTAAAAAAATAAAATGTAAAAAATATTACGACACATTTTAGGGTAAAATTATATTCTCGTTCCAATAGTGCTATTCATTTCTTTATGATCATTCGATGATTTTATAATAATTATTATTATATTATTTTTATTAATTATTAATAATAATACTATTGCATTTGTTATTATCGTCGCAGTTGCAAATAAATACACCAATATTATTATGGCCATCACGAACGGACTTAATAGTACCCCGAACCGAACGGCTCACGCCTCCGCCGGGCGAACGAAGACGAGACGTCTGCAGCGTGCACCACGCACACACACATATAAAGCCATAAAGGTATAATATATGAATAGAAAGTAGAATACGTACTAACGTTTATTATTCGCGCGATTTCGACGCCTAATCGATAGTGACGACGACGATTGCAATAATAATAGATATGGAAGACACTAAACATAATTTGTAAAGAACATTCGTCGTGCGCCTTAGGCAATAAATATTAACAATATGAGAAAGACTATTACAAGTACGCCAACTCCGAAGACGATAAATAGGGATGTCATTCGACAAAAACGAGATCGTTGTGTGAACGATATATTATTGATTTTACGTGAACGTCAACGGTGTATATCATGATAATAAAAATAAAACATTATTATCGTGTGTCCTCGGACACGTCGATCTTATTGATTACGGTACGCAAATATCTATTCGGTTTGACCAAATCTCGTCGAAAACGTCGCACACAGAGGTCCAATCATAATATTATTATACGATAGTAGTGTAACGATATGGCCGTTTTCATAGTAGCATAATAATTATATTAATATATTATGCATCTCACCATCTCTCTGTACAGTCTACTGTACACTCAATAGTCTACACTTGTACTTATCCGGAAAACATACGATTTTATTGTAATAAATTTTATAGTTTATTGTAATTTTAATCACTTAATCTCGAACATAATAGGATGAACGTGAAGTGTCTAATTACGCAACTTAAATGTCTAACAATTTTAATTATTTTTGGATTTATTTTAATTGTTTAAAAAGAGCACAGATGTCGACAAAAAAATAAAAACACAATAATATTGTTCTACATCCTTTTACTAGTAATTATACGTACTTATGCACCTGATGCCACGAACTACACTAAAAACCTTACCGTAAAACCGTTTTAGAGACTATTATTAAAATATAATTCTGGTCCTATAGTCAAGCCGCTAGACTCTAGCGAATTATAATATACACTACACAGTAAGAAACACAAATATTATTTTATAAAATTAAAAATATTAAAATTATAATTTTAGTAAACACGTTTTTTCTAAAGCACTTTTTCTATCAATGTATTTATATTAATAAGACACTATAAAATTGATAATTATTTCTGAATTAAAATAAATTTATATTTATTATATTTTTAAATACTTATTATATATTGGTGTGTTTAAATAAATTCATCACTCATCAGTAATAACTTAAGAATTTAACTATTCATCGTCAAATATCTTTAAAAACATTATAATTGAGTCAAAATCATGATAGTTGTAATCTTATTAAAAATGTACGTTAAAATATAAAATTAATTAAAAATTATATCTACAGATTACCATAAAAATACTTTGGACTCAATAATTGCACAATATGGTATGTAACTATATATACTAAAAATCTATTATATTCTCATTTCTTGATTATATTTACATCATATTATAACTTTTATTATCAAAGGGAATTAGAAATTATAAATATGAGGGGATTTTAACGATTTGTATGTGATATAGATTTCACTCTCATCGGCAAGTATCATATTATTTCAACAATCTCAAATTACAACTGAACAAATTTCACAATACTACTGTTAACTTAATCTAACAACCTATGCCAGTAAAAACTAAAAACCAATCAAAAAACAATCATACTACCACAGAAATAAATGAGATAATTATCAAGAAACTTCGGGAAAAAATATATTTACAATAATAATAGTAATAAGTAATAACAGTGTACTTACATAATAAAACATAACAGTTAATACCAATGTATACATACATATATTTCGATTATTTGTTCAACGTATATTATAACATAAACTATGAAGTATGAACACATGATTTCAACGATATGCATTAACATTTTCAAACATTAAATTAATAATTTAGATATTGAACAAAAATAGACGTTCAGCTTTGATGTATCATAGTACCTATATTAGTATGACACAATAAAAGCGATAAAATAAATTAAATTATTATAAATTACGTATAGTTAAAAATCTATTAAATTTTTAAACGTCTGCTTTTTAATAGTTCAGAAACTACTTAATCACGCTTCATTACAAAGTAGTATAGAATTCCAAACATCACGTAGTACATTAAAAATTAACTAAAATTAACGTGTATCTATAGTCGAGTAGACCTCGTAAAATGTATTATTGCTTGTCTAATACAAATTAAATCTACAATGTAAACACGTCGTTATATCGATGACGATGACTGCAGGAATCCGAAATTCATCTAACGTGTTTATATAAATATTAAACATTTTTAAATGCTATCTACATAATATTGAATGTAATTATTAAATATTTTTATACTTAGACAACGTATTTAAAATGTCAATCAAAAAGACAATTAGAAAAAAAATTACACAGATAACGCATGTCAAACGGCTACGGATAAATTAAACGCTGCACTGAAAAGAATTTAATAAAAATAAAAATTATGATCCTATTCTTGGCGATAGATCAAAATATAGATTTTTGTACAATGTCGAACTGTACGATTATACAGAACGGTGGAAAACTCAAAAAATCAAAAAGTTTAAGCACGAATCAGTTTAAAAACCAAGCTATGCCTATCCTATCGTTTCGTAATAGACGTTAAGAGTATATTGAAAAAAATAGGTTAAATATTATTTTAAGTCAAAAAAGTGTGAAAAATACACACACGACAATGTTTTAAGTACGTATTAATAAACAATCTAACCGCACATTATAATATATTACAGGTATATACACTATAACAATGTCAGTGATACTTGTACACGGTGGAACATATCTAAACGGAGGTGGAGGATTTTATGGTTAGTCACACATTTCCGTATATACACAGGTTAGATAGGCGTAAAGACTTCAAGGTAAAATCTACTCATTGAAATTTATGTTTGAACCGTGTGAGGCGTCGAAGTCGTTGTTCAAGTCTTCCTCTGTGAACGTTTGTTGTACGCGCTGTTCAGGATCTCAAAGTCGTCAACCGTCAACGGGTCTGACGACTCGGAGGGCGGTGGTAAATGAACGTAAGACGGCAATGGGTCGTCGTACCTCTTTGACAGGATGGAATACTCTCGGTGCGCAGCCACCAGTTTGGTTATTTTCGATGTGATCTCGTAATCGGTACACGACGAGTCTAGTGCCAGCAGGCTGATCACAGTCCGTCGAAGATCTTCGAGCTGTACGAACAAAACCATATACACATTTTTAATACCGTGATATTATAATAATAATGATACACGTATACTCGCATACAAGCAAATTAAACGTTGACTTACAGAACATTCTCGACGTTTCACTTCGCTCAATTGGAATTTAATCGAGGATAGTTCGTCCTGTAACACTCGCATTGTGTGCTCGTTCAGAGTTTTGTCTTGGTTATGAGAATCGGAAGTCGATTTCAACTGGAAAACAAAACGGTACTTTTTATGTTTACGAAAAATTTCGTTCGTTAAACGTGACTCTAAGTTAGAATTCGATCATACTTGTTCTTTGAGCACAGTAACTTTTCGTGAAAAACGCATTCGTAACATCTCTGATTCCACGAGACGTTTTTCAAGATCATCGATTTTCTTCGCTCTTTCCAATGAAGTCAACTATTAAACATGTTTATGTAGACATATTTTAAATTTAATTTAATCTTATAATATAAAAATCATGACATAGCATTATACTAACTTTACAATCTCCAGCATCAGATAACTGTAGTTTCAAATCTCGAATCTGCGCTCTGCATTCGGTCAACTGTAGCTGTGCTTTATCCAATTGTTTTTGCAACTTTTTAGCCCTATACGCAACACATATGTAAAAAATTTAATTATTCAATTATATACACAAAAGTGTATCTGTGAGATATCTAGTTAAAATATGTATGTACTAAAATTTTCAACGAATAAAAATCCAAGATTATTATAAAAAACAGATAGGTCAAATATCAAAATCAAAAAATGTGTTTACAAGCCTGTTTAAAACAAAATAAATAATGGTAATTAGATTATTAGTGCATAATTATCAAATGCCAATAATATATTTATATTTTTTAAATAATTGATTATAACATCCCTATTTACCATAATATACTAAATTATAATTTTATAATTTGTTATTGAAGCATTTGATATCAATCATTAAAAAAAAAAATAGATTTATTTTTAAACATGATATTTAAACTTGAATTATGTCATACTTGTCATAATTATTTATAATTAAGTAGCTACATAACCTGGCTTTATCTGACAAAAATGATAATATATAGTACATAGTATAATACACAAAAATTGTTACCATTTTTGTGAACCACCAATAAGGATTGAAAAATTAATTTTAAAATAGTCCCCCGATCTAGGAATATTTACTGTGTAAAATTGGCTGTAATTTTTTTAGTATTTTCAAAATTTATAACCCTCGTCCAAACATTCATTCATTTTTATTTAATAAATAAACAAAAATAATATTATTATTACTAATATTTTTTTAACTGTCAATTTTGAATTTATTTTGAATTTGGAATTTTTGTCCTATTCATTGAATATTTTAATTTTGATATTTTAGTTCAAGATATTTTTATTCAATACTAACTAATAGAGTGATATATCTAATAATTTTAATGAAAATTATTATCAAACTCTTCAAATATTATAAATTATGAATCATTATATTATATGTTGCTGTATGTTTAAAGTGAAGGTTACAGTACCGTATGTTAGCTTCATCTCTTTCTGTTTCCAAGAGTGAACGTATTTTTGTACTTTCGTCTTGGACACTGATTTTCTTACGTAATAAATCGAGATGGAGATCGCGTCTTTGCAGTTGGTCCCTTAACGTACGTACGCGTCGTTGCAGTTGATAAACTAAAGCGCTCTAAACAAAAAAATCAAAAATATTAAATCGACGAAATCATTTTTAATTAAAGTGTAGAACATATTATTAAATATCGAGTAATAAAGCAAATAGATACAATAATAATTAATATTGAGTGATATAAAATAATATTTATCTTTGGAATATTAACGATAAAAAATGTTTACGCTTATTATTCTACATTAATATTACATAATATAAATAAGACTTATACAATATCCTGAACTTATTACCCTAATGTTACGGTGAAAAATAAAATAATTATTATATAAGTTGGTATACAACAATATAGTATGTATTATGAGACGATGTGGTAATAAAATATATGTATGAACTCAGCGATAAAAATTTCAAAGCGCTGATAGCTACGAATAACATGTTGTATACAAATATATTTACGTACGTTTCAAAATGTATTACAGTATTAAATCTAAACTTACATAGAATTACGGTTACTTATATTCATCAAAGTTTTATAAATACAATATAATCGCCAAGACTACGTAGTAAAAATGTGAACGGTAATAATTAACAAATACCAAAGTATAAAATACAATATTGTTATAGAGTAAAACAATGGTTCAAATATTATACTTCTCTGTAAGGAAAATCGCAATATAAACGATGTCTGGATAACGACGATGACGTATAAGGATAACCGAGCAGTAACTATCGCCACGGAAAAGAAGAAAAATATCAAATGATCGATAACGATGAAGACTTGAAAGTTAAGATGGCAATATTCTTACCTTGTCGATGTTTTTATCGTATTCCAATTTGGCAAGCTGTTCGGCACGTAGCAGCAACGATTCTGTGTGTAAGTCGACACCCACGTCTTTCGCTATCTGGTCCATGTGCATGGCTCTTGACAATTTATCGAGGAATGTAACGAACTACGACGAAACATGGTTTGAAATTCGTTTGTTCAATCAAAAACCAAAAAAATAAAAATGCCAAAATTTAGTGTCTCCATACAATGCATATAAATCACCGATTTTTGAGTCCTCGGCCCTTTCTCACTAAATATAAATTTTAATTTTAGTCACGGTTCTTCAACTTATATAATTTAACATCTATTCCGCACATATTGGAAACAGTGACACGTACTCACACACAGAGTTAATCATAAAAACTTTATAGTATACGTACATCATATCTATACAAATCAAGCTTAAAGATTGTATGTGTTTTAATACGCTAATCTTAGAAATTACAGGATCGATTTTAATAAAAGTTATATCAACATAGATTTTTTTTTAACTTGAAAGATGTTTAAAACTTATTTTTTAACCCCTATATAGAGTGATATATGGTAACTCACACGTAAATTTTGTTTTGACTCATGAAAATCGAAAATATTTTTATTTATATTATATAGAATAGACGTTGATTACAAAAAAAAAATTTTTTTTTAAATACAAGAAAATAATATTTAATTTGTAATTTATCGTTCAAATTTTATTCAAATGTACTTACAATAAAATGCAAACATCCATATGTTTGTAGCTTATTAACTCGAAAACTACTCGATCGACATCTGTTGTCGAAAGTTTCAGAGATTTTTTTTAAAGATATCAGGATTATTTAGAGAGTAGTTTTAACTACGTTCGAAATTATACCAAATGGTATGCATAACTTGCCACAGGCGGATCGCCTATCTCGATCAAATTAGATCACAAAGAGAAATACGACGATGCCGATTAACCTGTAATCTGAGGTTCACTAAAACTATAAGACACACCATAGCGCCTTATTTTATTTTACTAATTTTTTCCCGGGGTAATTGGAGTATACAGCTAATGTATGAAGCTATATTATTTTAATTCCATATTCCTCGTTAAACTTTAAAACCAAATCAATGTTGTAAACATTAATTTTTAATGTAAAAATAATTTTCAAAAAAATGTTACGAGTATACTCACGATTGTCTTATCATTACGTAAATGTTCTTTAGTCATTTCACAAACATTAAGTTCGCTCTCGGCGTGGTTCAATCGAGTCTCCAAGTTGCGTTTCTCATCTGTCAACACTCGGTTTTCCGACGCTAATCTGTCCTGGTCGATCTGCAGCCGTTCGATCCGGTCGGTCAAACTGATTATCCTGTCCTTGGATTCCCCGTGCAACTAAGCATTTTACAAAAACGATTTTCAACGATCCTGACCCCAGGGTCGCCATCGATTTACTGTACTCTTAGTAGCCAACTCGTTAACTAGCCTCTTCACCGCGTCTTTGACACCACTCTCGGTGGACTGAACGTATCCATCCGCCGAAGTCAGACACACGGCCAATGACTCCAAAAAGTGTTGCATGTCAATTTGCATTTTTTGACACTTCTCATCGTGTCCTCGTAAGTCATCTATGATGAATAAATAATTTAGTTAATTATTTTCAATTGAAACTATGACTTAGTTTACTTCGAAGAGTGAATATAGTAGCCTCCTGACTGGCTATATTGTTAGATGCGATGCCTAAACTCCTGTTAGTTGCCATCAGTTTATCTCTGAGTTCAGATAATTCACGTTCCATTACTCTCTGCTGCATTTCCAAATGTTCTTTCTCCTAAAAGTAAATATTTTTTCATACAATGAACATATTATGTAATTTTGTTTATTTCCTTTCTACCGCCACTTCATTAACACGTTATATTAACATAAAAATTATATATAACTATATAATTACAATTATAAACAATGCACATTCAAAAAACAAGTCAAATATTTAACACATAAATTGAAGAATGTACTAATAAATACTATCATACTTGTTTTAACTTATCTATTTCAAGAATATGGCCGGCAGCCTGTCTTTGAAGATTTTCTTTATCAGCTAGGGCCCTTTCCAGTTGTTCTCTACAATTCCTCAATTCTACTTCTATCGAGGTTAAATTTTCACTGGCAGAAATATTTTTACGACGCAATCTGTTTAATTCCTAAACATACAATATTAATTAATAGTAATATTATTACATTGTATTTAACTAGTTCCAGCAAACCGTTTATAGTATAAATAAAACAAAATTGAACACTTGGAATGTCGAGAGTAGAACATTTATAAAAACATAATATTTATATTATATCTATTTTATAAGCAACTATAACCATCGACAAAATTTATTTTAAAATACTAAGATAGGTTAGTAGCTAATTACAAACTTAACTATTATTAGTTCAAAACCAAGCCAAACACAAACTGGAAACACATGGAGGATAACTACCTATATCTATAAATTGGGTATATAATTATTTAATATTTTCATTAATTTTATGATTTATTAATAAAACTATATAAATAATACTATTTAGTGATCATATTTTGTAGACTTAAGTATAAATTATTTTCCTGGTATTCACCTGATGCATTTCCGATGCTTTTGATAAGACCACATCAACGGCAGCTGGAGAATCTGAATTCAAAGACTCGTACCCCAACGCTATCGAAGCTCTACTTACAAACTCTGACATTGATCTTCTTGCCGAGTCTCTTGCATTTTCAGCTTGAGTACAATTTAATTCCAATAAATTGATTTTCCGCTCCAACTCGGAACACTTCTCTGCCTGATGGCGATTTTCTCTAGCTAAAGATTCGGATGACATATCTGCTCTTCCCAATGACGTAGTCAACATTCTCTCTTGGTCCTCCAATTCCTAATATAAATTCGAAAAATTTAAAAATAACAAAAGTAAATGATCTAAACATTAATATATAAATACATAATAGACAATAATATTTCATTTATATGTATACAGGTACCTTTATCCTATTTCTCAGACTAGCAATGATAGAATTTTGTCTAACTTGCTGTTCTTTCAACATTTCCGTTTCAGCCTCGAGCTCTACCGTTCTTTGATCTCTAGTCCGAAGCTGCCCTTTGGTGTCTTGCAACTATAAAATGTGATAATTGAAATATAGTTTTCTATCAATATTCATCTGAACAACAGTTATTAACCTCGGACATAAGACGATCTCTTTTGAACTGCAATGCAGCCAACTCGCTTTTCAACGTGGATATCATCTCGTGATTATTTATAGTATCTTCAGAATCCATCTGCAAAAACATAATAACGTGAGTACACAAACAAAAATAAACCAGATTATCTGGTATTAACGCGTATAAACGTAAATAAAAAATGTTTTTTTTACGGGGCGAAAAACAGAACTTTTTTCACCGGTACCACGATACGAAATGTAAGACTCCGCATAGATTATCTGTAGTCACGCACATTAAACTCCAGTCACCAAACCCTTTTCACGCATCGACATTGAAATCACAACGTTATCGAAGAATACCAGAATATATTATACATGACATATATAATTTTTTTCATCTGTGGCCATACCTTTTTTTTTATTTATCGAATTCTATTGGACTTTTAATAATGTATGTGGTTTCTGCTAGAGTTTCATTATTGACATCATTATTTAATGGGAAACAACCTTAAATGGCAAACACTAATTAGAATATACATTGGCAAATATATATACCGACTTCTGATGTATTGGTCGGCCAGCCGAATACTAAATCAAACCGCCGGCGCCGAGTGCGTATATAGTATAATATAACAATAGTGCGTGTGTCGTGAACGAATGGAATTTATCGATTCGCATGTCACACGATATATTGTATGGAAACATTTACATAGAACCGTGTTATTAAGTAGGTTAAACCTGTGAGTTTGGAGTTTATTTTTGGCGCATAAAAAACTCCGTTTTCAAACGGGTGCTGCTTAATAATAATATATTATAAAAGGCATATACCTGCGCATAGACATTATTTTGTACTGTACACATAATGTAATAATAATTCTATGTCAAATAAAATTTTAATAAATATTAGGATATACATGAATATATAGCCACCGATTAGGTATAATAATAATAACAATAACTATGGCAATAATACGTAGGTAACAGTTATACGATATACGTAAACGTTTTATGATTTATTCGAATATACAGACAACATTGCAAAAATTCAGCGCTATTGTTTGCCTGGTACCCAGTGAATCACCTCAGGCCAGTGCACATTATTGTGCGTGTATATCTCTTTACATTTCGCGAATGTGTCCTCGGCGTACTTAAAAAAAATCAATCATTGTGGCATGATGTTAATTTTTTTTCAACACGATATCAGTCGTGTAATGTAGTATGCAATACGCCTAAAATAATTTACCATTAACGTATTCAAAATCATAATTTAATCGAATGTCGCAGCATATCATCTTACATCGTTCCATATAAAACATAATAATAACGGTACATCATGTATAGTGCATAAATAGGTATAACGATATGAAATTGCATTTAACGCGATTTATGTGTACATACCTATTTCTTAACATCTATATTATATGTGTACGCGCGTATTCTAAAACCATATATAGGTACCCTTATTATAATAATGTAGTGTTTTGTAAATAAACCTTATTACATAGCGTATTACGATCATTGGTATGGCTGGTAAATAGATGGATGGATATATTATTTGAATGGTACATCTATACTTGTGCAGTGTTTCACTGTTTTACGAATTTCGACGAATAGTATAGATTTTTATGATGTTTCAATAAGTTGATTAATATTTTTAGCTTTTAAACATCGGAACACTACTGAACAGTTTTCAAATAGTTTTTTTTTTTAAATATACTTCCCGAACGACAGAATTGAACATTGCTGGCGCTTCGTTACTCCGCCAAAAGTGTTTTCCGAGAATAAAAGAAAAACACGACAGTGTAAAACACCTTTAATACCTATTTCATTATGTGTAATAAAATAATTTTCTGCTCTACAGTAGCTGTGCTATCTATAAAAATGACGACATGTAAATCATATAATAATCATCCTCGTTTACTTTTTGGCCGCAAAGAATGTCGAACACCCTCCAGTCTTCGTCACTCAGCGGTTGCGTCATCCCGAAGAGCCTTTTCGATTATCATAAATATTATATTTTGTAGATGGGTGCACAGCGGTGGCGCACCCCGTCACACGAAATGTTATACCAACTCGAACCGACCGGCATAAAAAACTAGCGAGTATTTGACGCGAACGTGGTCGCGGTCGTCGGTGCCCGTCTATATATCGATTCCTTTGTTGTAAGAGCCACGCACTAAAATAAAAGCTATAATGACGTACCGTGTTGAATTGTTGACCCCCGCCACTGACACGCTTCGTGACGCCTTTACTCCAGTAACGTAGTTAAGAATGTTTCCTTAGGAAAGGGATAAACCCATAGTCAGCAATGCCTCCAGTCCAACTCTCCTTCCAAGAAAAAACTTAATTATCACATAAATGATCTACAAACAATAATATGAACTCGGGCACTAGCAGCTAACGAACTATCATTTGCATAGTTCCCGTTTGTGCAATTACCTACCAAATACATAATAATAACACTTTGGTTATTTCGTAAAATAAAATAATCATAAGCGCACCTAGCACGTAGTCATCATCAACTGTCTTATTATTAAAGTATATATTATGATTGTTATATAGGTTAAATAATTTTACTTCTATGGAAAAATTGACCCAATGGTTTCAAAATTGAAGAATATCTGAATGCAATTTTTAAGTAGGTACTTAAATATACCATAAATTACAATCGGTAGGTACATAAAAAAAAAAAATCATCTACATTAACATTGAAATAATTTTTATTAATTCGATAGGTATATAGTAGGTGATTTTCTATGATAATTAATATATATTTTACTTCTACTTATCAGTACTCGACTAATATACGTTTGTTTAACATTTTATTTTATTATTTAATATTAAATAATATTCTCTACGTATAAAATTACTAAACATAAAATAAAAATAAACAGGAATATGTGTAAATTGTTTGAGACTTTTGAATAACATAAAACAGGTTTTTACTACAAAAGAAAATATTTAAAACGAAAGTGGTTCATAAACAGTTACAACACCTTTTGTAAGTAAAAACAAAAATTACAAACGTTTTGTGAAAAGTGGGCGTAATAGAGTGTTGAATTTTATTCAAATTCAAATCGAACGTAATTTAATCAAGTTTTAAATATTTACAAATCCGAACAAATATAATTAGGCATAACATTTCTCACAAATAATTCACATAATAGGTACATATATAATTATACTTTTTCAATATGTCCACCTACGTGTTAACACGACGAAAAATATTTTGTTTTTACTAAGTACTTCAAGCGAAATTAAAGTCTTCAGATTTTATACTCAGTGTGCAGTAGGAAAAAAAATCTCTAAATGTTTGAGTATCCCCGCACATTACTTGTTGTGAATTTGTTATGTACGTATTATAATATAATAATAAACGTTAACTGATAAACCCATACTGTAAGAGTATAAAACGTGATAGTAAATAATAACAGTGAATGCAACACGAATATGTATAAGAATTGTCAAGTCGACAGCAAACTACAGATTATAAATATTCGTGATCGCGAACAATACCAGGAAATATCAACTGACTCATCTGCAGTATTATATACCTACGATTTTTTCGAGTAAACTAGTACAGACGAACAAAAGAACAATATTCGTAGGTGATATAAAACACGCCATCAAACAGATGCATGGTGCATGTACACGAATAATACGTAATATATTTTGTTTTGATTTTTAATGTTTTCCGTGATATATTTAGGTACTTGTTATGTAAAAATGTTTATCCAGGATATACCGACTAGTTTCAAGAAGTTAGATATAGGAATAGGTACAATATTGCAATGACTTCGTGCAAGACGTGCGTTTTTGTGTGTGACTTTTCTCGTATCATTGCGTACCATGCAATTTTAGATCTTTAGATTCAAAGGCGATGGGTCCCTAAGCACGATATACAAATTTCAAGATCTGGCCGATCTGGGTCCGTCTTTAAGTAACGCGTCATTTATAATTATTTGTATTCGATACGGTAACTAATATAGGGGTTTTAAAAATATCTTAAGATATCTAATGACTAACACTATGTTTCCATCAGGGCCCTTCTCCAATTATGAATTTATAGAATCACAGCTCTTGAGTCATAAATTAAAGATAATAATTATAATTCAGTCGTGCTCTATAGTATGTCAACGGTTATACACTGCGCATATTGTGTAATTTTTACACATCACGCATTTACATGAAGCACTGAGGGATAACAAACATCATTGATATAACTATGGTTACGACAGAACCATATTGTCAATGTAATGTGTTCCTAAGTCGTCTACTAGTCTATAACATATAATGTTTTAACTTTTATTACATCCTGTACCCCTGCTCGTCGCTCGATGATAGCTATACCGTGATGTGTATAGTATGTATATTGTATATACAGATATTTACGAACTGTACTCATCACTATAGTTTAGAAACTTGTCCGCCGAGTTTTCCTAAGTTTAAAATTAGGTTTATAGTATTTTGAAAATATATTTAATTCGCGAGGACCTATAGTTACTAGAATAGGATTTCCGGACACAAATTATTATACCAGTTCATGACACAAAGTTTTTGATGTTTTTGAACTTAAATCTATAGCAGTATTAAATCTCATACGAACCTAAATTACCTACTGAAAATAATTTAACTTACTCTTTACCAATTAAAAGTCTATAATTAACTATTTACCTCACTGATGTGTGAGTAGTGAGTACTAATTTTAACAGTCATGAATCATATTAGATTATTATATGGTAATTGTACATACAATATTGCAGACTTTTAAATTGAATGTATTTAATGTACAAAATATATTATTATTTGTTTTAATTTAAGCTAATTAATACTTCACACAAACTTCGTTGATATGATTATTAATCTGTAATTTTCTAACTTTGGTTTCAGAATCAGAGTAAAGATGACATACGACTATGTCAAAGTTATAACGACAAAACTAACTAATTTAAGTAGATATAGGAGCAAATATCACATACTATAATCCTATAGATTAGTGGTTATTCTAAACCTTTAGTTAAATAATAAAAAATAAACATCAAATATTATTATGGGACAAGAGGCCAAGTGTATAAACTCTGCGTACACGCAATGATCGCTTGAACGATTCAAGACCAGTGGCATAGCCTGGATTTTGCAGGGGGGGGGGGGGGGGGGGGGGGGGGGGGGTTAAATGAAAATTTAAATTAAATTTTTACTGTTTTCGTTATGCCTGTTGCCCAATTAAACTATTCAAGAACAAAGTTTAGTTGTAAACTTGTGAATATACATTATTATAATAATATATTATAAACACCTCAATATTAAAATAAAATTAATAAAATATACAATAATATAAATAATACATTTATTAGATGTGGAAAGAAAATTGAGAAGGTTAAGCACCCAAAAAACCCCTTGTCTACGCCACTGTTCAAGACTGATAATGCATTACCAATATGTCATGTAACGAATATTGACATTCTATTTTTAATTCAAAATAACACCTAAATTGATAAAGAATTTATTTAAAATTTAAACCCTAGTAATTAGTGTATTTTTTTTATTTTTTTTTTTTTTTTATCTGCAAGC